ATCTTTATATAAATATAGATAATGACACTTTACAGAAACTTTGTTTCCTTACTATTCAGTAACTGCATAGTACCTATTATGCTACTGCTAAGTAAGTAAGGTAGTAACCATATATTTACTATTTAATCACTTTGCAGTTACTGCGTATCAAGAAAACTAAGTTTCTGTAAAGAATGTGAACGTTAAAGGGTTTTCTATTGAATTATTTTAATAAATTTAATCGCAATATAAATTTTATGGATTAGAAATAACGAAAGTTTTTTTTTAAAAAATTTGCGAAATGTTAGAAATTTATTTGTTATTAATCATTTGGTTAAAAAGATTAAAAAGAAAAATAGTAGATTTCCAGTGATCACAAGTAAGTATCGTACTCGCCATTTTTTGTTGAGTATAATTAAAAAAAAAAAAAGAATACATACATCCGAAAAAAATAATAAAATTAAAAAAAATCAAATCAAAATTAAAATTATTAAAAATTGGTATCCAGCAGGTTATGAGAATAGAATCATTAGTAATTGAAATATATAGTAAAGTATTTGAAGTTTTTTTTATTTATTAAGTTAATAAATTTTTAATGATTCAGTAACATTGAAAATTTAACCAAAAAGATATTTTTTAAAAAAAATAACGTATACACATTTACGCGATATTTGTTAAAATAGTTGTTTACATTATTTATGTTGTTTATATTAATAAAAAAGGAAACGTGATCACGTTTTTAACAGAATTAAAAAACTATACAGTCGACTCTGTTTATAACGAACTTTCCGGCTGGAAGTTCATTATAGCCAGAGTGAACCAATAAAATTATTGCTTTATTAAATTTAGTTTAAAATGATAAAACGATTTGTTATTCTTTATTTATATTTCAAAATGATGAAGATCAATTTGTTTTAAGATTTTTTACAGCCATTAATCTAACCCGTCTATATAAATTTCTTAAAATTTTTATTTCCTCATTAATTTCCCCAAATTCCGGTTCTTGTTCATATAAAAACTTTAACATTTTATCCATACAAATTTCAGCTTCCTTTAAAGTTACCTTTT